CTACTCCCTGTGCTTTTTTTCCCCATCACTTTTATTACATACCTAGTTCTGAGCAGGATGACTTGTTCCTGAGTGTCTGCTTCTCTTCATTGAGTGAACAGGTGGCTCAGATTTGACTAATAGTTAACTCTGGGTGAATCCCAGGGTGCCTTACTCCCACTGGTTTCTTGTGTGCAAAGATAAGGAGGGGTTGCTTGGATTAGATCTTGTCCTTTTGCTCCTCTCTCCAAGCACTTTTACAGGGTAATCTAGGCTGCAAATTCAGGTGTCTGCCACCACTGAACTATTTGGGAGCCAGCAGGAGGCAACTGGCATATCCGGCTCCCTTGGGAGTCAATCTGCTGGCTCTTTCTTTGAGAGGAAAATACCTACTGGGCAGAGCAGGACTGCTTATCTTACAGGAGAGAGACCGTAGCAGCACTGTCCTGTGCGTCAACTTCTGTCCTGGATGTAGGAGTAGTTTATGCCTGAAGTTTCTCAATGTTCTGTGACACTTCCTCTTTGATTTTCTTTTTTTTAATTATTTTTGAAGGATTTTTTTCTTTTTTTCTTTTCTGAAGAAAATCAGGCACAATGAATGCAAATGCGTGATGACAGGAAACATAATGGAAGGAGATACTATTTGAGTCAGTGTTTTCTGAACAGATAAAAAGGAAAGGAATAGTTGTTCAACTGTTCAGGCTTTGACTTTGTTAGAGCTTTGTGCTTGTTTGTTGGAACAAAGTCCAGTTTTGTTATATTGTAGAGAAAGGCTTTTTTATAAAAGAGAAAACATAGCTACTCTTATTAAGCATGATAGCTAAAGATACTCATTTTTTGAGAACTTCAGCACAATATATCAAATTTGTTTGGAAAAAAGGATTGACATGTCAAAGCAAGAGAGAAGTAGGGTGAGAGAAAACAATGAAAAAAAACCTGGATGATTGTTACTTCTAGAGTTACATTTTCAGGTGTTTGACTTTATTCTGTGTAGACTGAAAACATGAGGTTACTTGATTTTTGTTCTTGTCAGTCTAAAGAAATCTAGGTGATACGATTGAACCTGCTGTGAGTTTGCCAAAAAGAATTTCTTAAGCCTGAAAGCCAGTTTTTAAGAAAGATTTTCAAATGAGATGGGAACAATAAGAAATTAACATCCCCTTCTTAACAGAACACTTAATACATAAGAACACTTAATCATTAGTTTTAAGTTAGTAAATTAAAATAATGTTGACTTGACATACTGTAACCATGTCTGTTTTAACACCGGTAGTTGTGCAATCTAAACCGGTGATAGTAAATTTAAGGTAAGTGGCCATATGTACGCCAGCTGTGGGCTGAACACCATGCTCCCCTGGAAGATACCCTGTATGTAGCAGCAGAGACTTCATGTGTAAGGTGTGATAAGGATGTCTTGTCTTTCTCTCAAACTACCATGTACTCATTGCAGAGGGAAGATAAACTTTGTATACCATGTCCCTGATGTTATGTGGCAAAATCAGTGAAGTTATCTGACACTGTAGGTTAATAAAGTTCAGTGAGGCATCTTATGGGCCGCTGTCAAGGTAGGAATGATCAGAAGTTTTTGAGGAAAAGAACAAGAGAAACTCATTTTAGCTGAAATTATTTAATATTACAGTTGTATAAATAAATCAGACTACATAGTCCTTGGTATGAACATTCCATTCACAGAAATGCAATAAATAATTAAATTAGATTAGTCAATTGCTATAAAAATAAAGAATCTTCTCAGGAAAAGTAAATACTATACAGAATTGTTTATACCATGCTAAAACACATCTTGAAGTGCCTGCAAAGGGCACTTATGACCAAAATCATAAATACATCGTAAAACCTCCCTGGGAGGTAATGAGCTTTTATGGCTTACTGTATGTACTCAATCAGTGAAACATACATTGTTTCTGCAGAGAGTTCAGTTAGTAAAAAGAGGGTTCATCTTACACATCAAGATTGTCTACACATCTGGAATTGTGGTTACTAGTCCTTTGAAAATTCACAAGTTCCTCCTGGGACATCTTCATTTTTTCTTCTCAGAAGGGTGTCAAAGAACAAGGTGACATCATCTTGAAGACTGATCTGTCCTTCACTGATTTTTCTGTTCTTCATTTGGGTTTCAGATAACACGTCCTGAATAATACACTCAACCTTTCATAACTCTGACAAATCAAAAAGTTAGCACGAGGCTTCAGCGTCGTTT